CTCACCCTGTCACCCCCTACTTCACCCTGTCACACCGTCTCATCCTGTCTCACCATTTCTCACCCTTTCTCACCCTGTCCCACCCTCTCCCACCTTGTCCCACCTTGTCCCACCTGTCCCATCCTGTCGCACACTGTCTCACCCTGTCTCACCCTCTCCCACCTTGTCCCACATGTCCCATCCTGTCTCACCCTGTCTCACCCTGTCTCACCCTGTCTCACCCTGTCTCACCCGGTCCAATCCGGTCCAACCCGGTCCAACTCGGTTCAATCCGGTCCAATCCGGTCCAATCCGGTCCAATCCGGTCCAATCCGGTCCAATCCGGCCCAATCCAGTCCAACCCGATCCAATCCGGTCCAATTTTGTCCAACCTTACCCGAGTTTAACTAGTTCTGCACAAACATCTGCAGCCCTGACCCTCGCTTTCCGTCATCGTCCGCCTTTGTGCGTCTCTGTTCGTCTTTTCCAGGCATTCTGTGCCACTTTTACCCTTTCCAGATCTTTTCGCCCCTCTTCCGCCCTTCGATTAGTCTCTGGTGTCCCTTACTGTCCACCTCCTTTCTCGTACTAGACCATTGCCGCTCGTCCTTCACCGTGACCTAACCCCCTCCGGCCAACGCAAGCCCTACCCGGCCCGTTCTGTCTCCTGATCTTTCCGGGATCATTCTTATCCTTCCAAACTTCATGAATCCTTCCAGGGTCTCCCACACCCTTCCGGGCCTATCCGGCTCTTTCTATTTCGAACCCTTTCCCAGCTCTTCGCCTCGGTTCTCCGTGGTCAGCCTTGGTCCTTCCGGTTGCCCCGTCTAGCCTCTGGCGCTCCACGATTCTCTTCAGCCGCCGCCGATTCACTCTCTCCAGCTCTCATCTCTCGCCCTCTTTGGCTCTCACTGACTCTCCACGGGCCGCCTTGGTGCGCCCCGCCTCCCATCCTCCCTCCTCGGCTCGGCCCCTTCCGCCTTCTCCTACACCTTCGTTCGCCGACAACACCCATGGCCTGGACGAGAGATCTGTCGCTATTAGTCTGATTTCGTGAAAAAATGAACGAAAGTGGTCTACGAGATGTCTGATCTGTTTGTTACTGTCCACCCTTAATTGCATTAGTATCGCTTCTCACACAATCTCCCCACATACAAGCTTAATGTATTCCATTACATCGGATGTATTTAAAAATGTATCGTGTTACCAGTTTCCAAACTTTCTGGACGTGACTAGTAGTATTTTGTCTAATTGTTTCTTTTGAATGAAATTAGAAGCGTACATTGCAATCAACTAAGCATGTTAAGTATTTTTTAACTATTTCTTGAGTTGTCAGTGCATTAACAATGACGTCAAGACGCCATATTGCTTTTTGAAATACGTGTCTATTAACGTGCAAGTCATTTATCGTGCTTACTAACGCTATTAGGAAATTATTCGCCATTTTTCATTTTCTTATCCGCCTCGAAAACATTTATTATAGCTGAGATAACTTCAATTTTAATGATGTTGGAGCGGGTATAATGTACCCATGATACACATCAAATCGTTTCCTTCTTTTTGTAATGACCTCTCTCATTTTCTGTCCTAAATAACCGACAGTTAAAGGTCTCCTTAACGTGTTTTGTTAGTGATATTCTGGAATGATTCTAGTCTTTCTCAAATAGTTACTATTTCTCACGTCTTTGGAATAAAATTTAAACTTCAATATAAAAACTCTTAATGTTTTCTAAAATATTTTCATGAAAAATAGATGTTCTATTGACTTACGTATAGACATATCTTGAGGAATACTATATCGCACAAATGTACGATTAAAGAATATTTGTTATCAAAATGGGAACGAATTGAATGGAAATATTTTTTTAAAATGCCATCGAAAATTGTTTGCGAAAACAAGATGGAGGCAAAATGAAAACATTTTGAAAATATATAAAAATCGATATTAATTTTTGTATTTCCAATACTTTATAATGTGTAGTTAACATTCAATGCGAATTACGTAAAATGATTCTTTCAGTACGTTAGTCGCGCCGTCCTGCCAAGCGCTCGCGGCCGTCGAGGGAAGCAGGTGAGAATGCGCGAGGCAGCGCGCGGCCGCGTCCCCAGCCGCGATCGACTCGTCTTCCTCCTCCGCCCCCACACATCCGCCGCCGACCCCCGCCCCGCCCAGCCCCCCACCCACCCGCGCAGCCGGTGCTTTTATTGTGATAGTTTTTTGCCGCACCTCGCCGCACTCTTCACAGCCGCCGCCGCCGTCTTCCGCCGCCCGCTTCCTTGCGCAAACGACGTCCTGCACCGGCTTCCAATCTTTGCAGACTAACTATGCCCGGCTCTTATCGCCCGTTACACCGGCCGCTGGCCCCCGCGGTGGCGGGCCCCGGCGTTAGCAACGGCGGCTTGACGTAGGTTCCCGGACGACCGAACTCCTAGGTCAAACCCATCATCCGCCCACTCCCTGGTTCGGCGAGATTCTGAGCACAACGAACAGTTAAATCGCGGTCACTAAGCTAGCACGTTACATTCTGGAACGACGTCAGCAAACAATTACAATCTTGTAATTTCTAAAAAATATATATTTGTTTCTATTGAAATTATATGCGCAATCTTATTACAAAGTGTACGTGCCCTTACACAACAGAAGATATGCCGTTCAAAATCGATTTTTTTAATCGGACATGAAAAGGACTCAAATTAGGTTAGATGGATGGAAACTCCCAGTTAACAGGTGAGCAGATTTCAAGTACGGAAAGTGGAAGATGAGAATGAGGAATAAGCCGAAATAGAAAGAAGCAGGGAAGTTTTATGATTATGTCGGTAATAAGTTTTGGAACGAGAAGATAATATAACGAGTCGAAGAAGAGAGGGAGAGAGGGTTAAGAAACGGAATGAGGGGTGAACAGGATCTGAAAGAGGGAGTGAGGGAAGGGGGGGAAGAAAAAGAAGTTTCACCAGTTTTCAATGTTTATGGCCCAGCGAACGCCTTTTGCTCATAACGTACTTCAGTTTGTCTTAGCTCCAAGTGTTGCCAGAGCAAGCGATGTGAAGTCAACGCTCCGTTTGCCCCGCCCTTCTCCGCCTTTCCAAACTCGGCTCCTCCCGCCCTGCACCGCCCTCCCCGCCCGCCCCTCCCGCCCGCCCGCTCTCTCACCCGCCTCTCTCTCTTTCGTCGGCTCTACTCCTCACCACCAGGTGCCGTGTTTGCGTCGGTTGCGGTGGCGAGTCGGGGCCTTCTGCGAGGCCGAATTTCCACCGGTTGCAGCGCGCTTTCAAGAACACGATGGCTTTTGATGGCCGGGTGCGCTCAATAAGGCAAATCCCAATGGGGTGAATGCGAGGAGAAGATCTGCTGGGGGAGGACCCCTGGTTGAACATCGTCGTGAAATAACCAGCATTATGGTGACAGTTTTCATAAGGGAGTTGTAAGGACGGGATGGAAATCGAAGAGCGAATTGTATGTTCTGAAGAGTTAAGAAAATAAGAATGGCGTGTAAAAAGAATGAAGTACTATTTTAGTGTCATGTCACCGTAGAAAATCCTCTGCCAGGCAATGAAACTTGCTGCATTTAGGAATGGCTAAATCTATGTCGAGCAGTCTAAAGTATTGGTGCAAATCTATACGTAGACTTCCCCGTTACCGCTTCTGTATTCAGCTTCTTTTTTCCCGTGAATACGAAGAAAATTGGGGTAACGGTATTTGTAAAAGCTGTTCTCCATATCGATTAGAATTCAAATTGGTTATTCTGATTTTGCAATCAGAACAACACATTTTATGACAATGCAACTTGCGATGTTGATCTTATTCAGATGTATAAATGACCAGTTTTTGAAATCTATCTATTTTCACTGAGAACATTCTTATATGGACGATAAGTTTCGCGTCCCATTCCGTAGGAATGATAAATGCATTTAAAAGGTCTCTCTGTATGATTCTCGAAACCAGAGAGAATCGGATGCTTTTCAGATAAATCGGGATTTGCTCTTTCCTGTCCCTAACAAATGGCTGCCTTGGGAATCGACGCCTGCAGAGCCACACTTATTCTCATTTCCGTTGTGTTTCCTTGACATTTAACGACTGCACTTAAGATCTGTAGATGTCAATGTTTGAACTCTATTACCTGTTAACTTCTAAAATGTGCGCCAGTGGAATCCTTTGATCCCATTCTAGGAGTTTCATTGGCATCTTTGTTCGCTCTTCTTCACATTAAGTTCAAATTTTATAACCTTCATTGATGATACATTTCTTCGTTGGAATAGCTTTGCGGGTAGTCGTTGATTAAAATCACACAAAAGTAGAAATTATTTATAATTTGTTAAAATACATTGCAGATAATAGGAAGTTGTATGTAAAATAACGCGAGAAAATTTGTTCCGAGAGGAGAAATTCATCAACACCGTTATTCAAATTATTTTCCGTGACTTGTTCAAGTATTTAAAACTCTTTCACACTGCTTGATATTCAATTGACTGATTGTTTAGAGCGCTCCAGTTCTTCAGGTCATTAGTTCCGGAAGTGTAGTTTAGTCATGAAAGCTGACGTTGATCTTCCCTCGCTGGCTGGCGATATTCGGCACCAACCTACATCGGCTTGCGGGCATTTTCTTCAACCAGGTATCTCCCTCCATCCGAGACAAGCTCTGAGATCCAGAGTGATCTCTAGACAAGTGTGATAGTGTAGTGAAAGTGAGTGTAAGGGGGGGTGATCGAACAGAAAGAGGAAGGAAAGATCGCGTGCGGTGCGTGTCCCGATTGTTAAGGTACTACCCCGGCCTTCACCTGGTGTTGATCGGAGAAACTGTAGAAAACTACCGATCAGAGCAGCCGGTCGCTGGAATTCTCCTCCCGACAGCGAGTTCGACCGCGCTATCTAGCTAGTGTCAGAAGTCCTGCCACCATCAGGGCTCAAGCACTGAGACCTCCCGATTAGAAGCACTACAGAAACCCTGATGGCGATACCCAGTTTGTAAGTATTGTGTTAGCTCACAAAACTTTCGAATACTTCTACATTTTTGCTTCTGTAGTGAACACAGACGGAAATGCTTGTGCGACGCTCATCAGCTCGCCATTATCTTGGTTTCATAAAAACACGTTTTCGTTAATAACATTCTGAAGACAAACACGAATTTATTGGACCTTACACCTTGAGAAGACACTCATACTCATAGACACGTAGTGAATTCAGGCTGTAAATTAATGTTGTCTGATGACACTGGCAGCGACGAGTAATATAATACTTTATTGTTTATCTGTAAATAGATATATCGCTGAGAATGTAATCACCGATACTCCGCTTAAGAGTTAGCTGCGTTAGATGCGTTCAAATGCTAGCATCTAAACGATAGAAACGTACATTTATATCCACACATAAATAGTTCTGATAAGAGAGTAAGTATTTCAAAATAAATTTCTACGCAGTGCATTAAAAGGAACGTGCGTAATAATCAAATTTCAAAGTGCTTACTATAGAACCGTTAAAGAACTGAATGGCAAAATTGTCATTAAGATTCTATTCATTCTTACCCTCCTGTCTCTCCGATACAGTATTTAATCGCGGCAAAACTTCAATCATTTTCCCAGAGTCAAGTCTCGTCATAGTAAACGTCTCCTACACTCACCATAATTAGCAATCGTTTGACATTAATACCACAAGTTGACTCTTTTCACATTTAAATTATGGAAATATTTATTATATTATTGTTATTGTATATATTTATAGTGTTAAATTTCGAAACTATTAATATGATTTCGCTCCTTGGAAGACCCTCCAAAATTTTATATTTTTAATTGATGTAAATATCTTATTACAAACCTTTGTAAGAAAACCTTTGCCGATCAAGGGCACAGTGACAGTCAGAAAGTGAGTAATTTGTGTTTCCGAACGCGTCAACTACTTTGGTCATTAGTCCTGTGAGTGTAGTGCATGTTGTAGCTGGAGGGTGATAGAGTTTACTTCTAGAGCGTGAGATCCGGCGCTGACCTACTGGCTGAATTTCATTTTTTACCACTCCAGGTATCTCCCCAATGCATTGAAGTGTTTTGTAAGGGGAGAGGGTGAGTCAAGAATGAGAACTGGAAGTTCGCGCGATACTTGCTCTATTTGTTGGGCAGTTGCTTCGTGATCGGAGAAACCATGGAAAACTACCAAGCACAGCAGCCAGCTGCTGGAATTCTCCTAGAAAACTGGCTGACTTCGTCCTGGTTAGGTAGCTTACATCGAAAATCAACCGTCGGACTTGGGATCCCCCGATCGTTTTCGTAAGCCATCTCAGCCTCTTTGAAGGTTTTAATCAAAATGGGAGGAAATTGTTGTGGTCAATCGCAATCGTGACTACATAGTAATTAACTGACGGACAGAAAGTCTTATTTTAAATGTACATTTTATTTAACAACATAAATCTATTAAATATTATTGTATTTCTGAACCTACTTTCACGTTTAAATAAACGCATCACGTTTAACTGTAATCAGCTTATTTATTTATTTCTCGCGTGCAACACGAGTCGTTCCCAAAGACGTATCGTCCGTCCGCCCGCCCTCGCACCGGCGACGGCGCAGAAGCCACCGCGTAAGTTAGCTCAACGAGCAGAGCGGCGGCGGCGCGCGTCGCCGCACGCGATTATTCCGCGCCACCTGCCCAAAGCGGCGGCGGCGGCGACGCCCCCGCTCCCCGGTGCCGTGCGTCTCCCGAACGGCCTCACGCCCCACCTGCGCCCTCCGCCCCGCGCCCCGCGCGCGCGAAACGAATGCGGCCCCCGCGGTAATGCCCGAGACTTACTGCAGCGCCTCCTGCGAAAACCGCGCTCGTGCGGGGAAGAGGCTCCCACGAGGGCGGTGGGGACGTTTCGTGGGAACGTTGCAGCAGTGAACGAGGATGAGTGGATTGGATGTGGTGAGTGGAATGGATGGGAAGAGTAGAATGGATGAGGAGAGTGGAAGGGATGAGGAGAGTGGAAGGGATGAGGAGAGTGGAAGGGATGAGGAGAGTGGAAGGGATGAGATGATCGGAATCGAAATATGTCTTTAAACTCATTATATTTATTAATTTAAGGTTTTAAATCAGACCAGAAAACACGGAGAAAATTGTTAATTCCATCAGCAGACCGATACACAATTTCCTTGCTCAGAGTGGTAGACCAGAAGGGGTCTACTATTTAATCGTTCCTTCCCATGCTTCACATTTTCCTTAGTTCAATCTGTTTCTAGCAACTATTTATTTTCATATTAATTTGATAATTATATAAATGAATAGTAATATGATAATATGGTAAATACTATTATAACAGACCAATTTTTGAAAGCTGAGGATACATTTGTCATATCTGC